AGATCTAGCAAAATATGCCCTATATGCTAATCACATGAAAAGAGCCTTTCAAAGAAAATTTTATAACAATGTGACATTAAATAATAAAGATATATAACATCTGCCCAGATTTGGCATCTTATATTTGCATCACAAATTATTTGGTTTTTGTTGTTGTTGCTGTTCTGGAACTTTACAATCTGGCAAAACAACAAACCCAGAAGAGATATTTCCCAACAATCTAACATGAGGTTTTATACATTCCTGCTTCAATAGACGCAGCCACAAGACAGTTGTATACTTGCATAGGAGAACTTCTTCAAATCTACTGTGAGAAATGAAGATTATGACTATCATATATCCTATTCTTCATCATTACTTTCAATATCAACATCAACATCATCATCCTTCTCTTCCAGCCAACCCCACCAAAACCCTTATTTCCACCACTACCATTTTCATTAACAGTCACCACTACCATGGCCACCACCACTGTCTCAATTATCACCAACACCATCACCATCATCAGCATCATTACCATCAGCACCACCATACCGTTCCCTTGCAAAGGTTGGTCAGAACAGATTTCAAGAAGTTTCGGTACCAAATATCCAATATAGATCCTTCTTTGTACCCTGACTACATCTTATTCTATCCTGACCATATCTTGTTGTCATGTGGGAGACCCAGGTTCAATCCTTGGTAAAAGAAGATGAAGATTTATTTTACTAGGGGTAAACATAAAAATCCTAATCTGCAGTTTGTTATGACTGCACTGGCTATGCTCCAAGCTCACCCCCCCCCCCCCTTTTTAACAAAATCATCAAATTAAGACAGTAAAGATCCCTTCCCCCACCCAGACTCTGTTTGGGAAGGGTGGGGAATAGAAGGCATTTTCTTAAAAGTCAAAGTGCACCTGTCTGAGAGGTGATTAATCAACAGTCTGCATACAAAAAAGCCAGGACTTGTAAAATGGATGTGCAGGCTAAACTCAAGTATGCGAACAAGACCAAAGTCTAGAAGTGGACGAGCAAGCCGAATTTTCTGCCCACGTTCACTGGAAGAAGGAGACAGTTTTTATTAAAACACATTTCAGGTAACATGAGTGCCTGTCATGAAAAAGTCTCTGCCCTGAATACCTGACCATCAGGATAACAGGTTTTCAACAGTCACAAACTATGGTCACCACAAAAATAATCTTCAACTCAACTAAAAATGAATGAACAATACATTTTTTCAAACGTCTTGTTATGCTGTATACTAACTATTGTTACCTAAAAAAAAAAAAAATTTTTTGTCCAGAAAAATAATACACCCATTGTTTCTTAACTGTTTGAGTCCCAAGGAATGCATCTTACGTTCATAGGTTCCTACCTAGAAGCCCAATGAACGCATGATGCGCCAATTTTATTACTTTCTTTACTACCCATGGGACTCAGAGAGTTAACAACCAAGGCCTAAAAGGCAAATAATTATGAAATTTGATGTTTTGGGCTAAAATGTGTAGACATCACAGCCCAGCCATCATCCACAATGAGCCAACTGCCCATTTAGGAGATGATGCTTGATAGCCTGTAGCGATGGCTCGGAGGAATATCATCAGTGTTGTGTTGTCGGTCCATCACAAATGATGAGGCCCACTCTTTCTTTCCTTTGTCACAAAACTATATCATTGGTGGAAGTGATTCAAAATACCAAGGACCGAAATCAGTGCTTATGCTGATGGGCAGAGCATATAATGATGATGATGATGATGATGATGATGTTGCATTGAGAAGCCAAATACTTGTACATTTGTTCTTCTTCTTCTTCCACTTCTGGACCCCAGTCCTGTTCCAGAACCTGAGTGTTGTGTGTACATCTGTTTCACAGGTCTAACTCATTTGCATGCAGACTGTTGGTTGCCTGCCTCTCAGGCAGATGTACTCCAACTCTGAAGGAAGCTCCCAATTAGTCGACTCTTACTACATGCTTTTGGGCAGGCAGTGGGTCTATTCTTGTTTTGACCCACAATGGGGCCACGGAACCCACGGGGAAGGGGGGGGGGGGTTTCTACATTTCATCTGGATTAATATTTTTAATTAAATTTTACTGGTCTATTAATTTCAGTAGCGAAAGGTGTTGAGATGAGACTTGAGACTTTCAAGGGCATACATTACTACACAGAAATCTTCAGTGTATTACTTTACAAGAGAAGAAATGAAAACAAGCAAGAATTCTGAAGTTTTGTGTGTGAGTGTAAGGACGAAATAAATAAGTATGAGAGAGAAGACAACACATGCTGGGTGGGGTTCAAAGAAGGGCTTGGAATGAACGTGTTTACAGTCTTTACATGAAATCAGTTTGATAAGAAGAGTAATGTGAACTTTTTCATATATTCACACAGAATGACAATTTTCATTGTACGTTCACAAAGTATGACAATGTTCACTGTACCTTCATGCAGAATGACAATGTTCACTGTACCTTCATGCAGAATGACAATGTTCACTGTATGTTCACAAAGTATGACAATGTTCACTGTACCTTCATGCAGAATGACAATGTTCACTGTACCTTCATGCAGAATGACAATGTTCACTGTATGTTCACAAAGTATGACAATGTTCACTGTACCTTCATGCAGAATGACAATGTTCACAGTACATTCACAAAGAATGGCAATGTTCACTGTATGTTTACACAGAATGACAATGTTCACTTATGTTTACACTGAATGACAATGTTCACTGTATGTTTACACATGACAATGTTCACTGTATGTTCACACATAATGACAATGTTCACTGTATGTTTACACATAATGACAATGTTCACTGTATGTTCACACATAATGACAATGTTCACTGTATGTTTACACATAATGACAATGTTCACTGTAAGTTCACACATAATGACAATGTTCACTGTATGTTCACACATAATGACAATGTTCACTGTATGTTTACACATAATGACAATGTTCACTGTATGTTCACACATAATGACAATGTTCACTGTATGTTTACACATAATGACAATGTTCACTGTAAGTTCACAAAGAATGACAATGTTCACAAAGAATGACAATGCTCATTTTACGTTCACAAAGAAAGACAATGTTCACTGTATGATCACACAGAATGACAATGTTTATTGTACGTTCAGACAGAATGACAATGTTCACTGTATGTTCACACAGAATGACAATGTTCACTGTATGTTCACACAGAATGACAATGTTCACTGTATGTTCACAAAGAATGACAATGCTATTGCTACCCATGAACTACTGAACACCAAACTGTTTTAACTCCAGAAAAATTCATGTCAAAATTAGAAGATGATGCTGATGATGATTAATATGTTTAGTTTTACTGTAATCACTGTCATGTGAACAAGAACTGAATCCCTAATTTTGCATGAAAATGTTTGTTCCCCACAAACAACATAACGAGCTTCGAATACTTCAACTGCCACAAATAATACACAAACTTCAGATAATTTGCATCTTGTCTGAAGCTTTACAGTAAATTTATACATGAAAAGATACGCCAGCCTCCTATCTAAACTACATTCACTATCATCAGTCTTAGAAAGAAAGGTTAATGTTGATACCAACATGCATTCACACATACATTATATATAATAAACAAACAATGTACAGATCAACACAGGAAGAAAAAGAAAGAAAGACAACATGCATTCTGTACTGTCTGACAGTTATCCATTACCTGCTAATGCTGAATTTTTATCTAAACTGCTTACACATGCCAACTGATCACACCCTGCCATTGATACAAAGATAGATTAGCAGACAGACAAAGACAAGGGCACATCAAAATTATCTTCACGTTTGTTCAGGGGTATACAAAAAAGAGCATGCACTTTTTTCATATTGTCAGACAGTGAAGGGTTCATAAAATTTGCATTCAAGGACAAATTTGCAATAGATGACTGAATTTTCACATATTCTATTAGATACATACGTAAAATGAACATGTTTAAAATGTTCGAATATACCTAAAATATGTTCAGATCTTTAAATAAATTTATATATACTGTTTTAAGAAAAAACACATACTTATCCAATTACGCAGTTTTATTACCTGACCAGAAAGCCTGTATGCCTAAAAACCAACGATGACCCAGATGCAAAAGAACTGTCATCTGACTGGTTGAATCCTAAGGTATTCTTGCGTGCAATTTGGAAAATTTCTATCTTTAAATTACAAAGACTTTGAATATCAAAATTATGACAAATTATGTTCCTTTCCGTAGCTGTGTGGTTTAGTCATTTTTTTTTGGGTTGGGGATCTTTAGTATTATACTAAATTTGACACATACGGATTTCTTAATGATAGAAATATTCCCAAATTCAACATATTTTTAAGACTGATCCATAATTAGGAATATACGTCACAGATTCACACACATATGCTCAGTATGCATTCACAAACAAATAATATACTAGATTTTATATACACTTAGCACTCATTCACAGACATAAACTGTCACAGCACATCACATTGGCAGAAATATGCCAGACGACTTCACATATGCTCAACACCAATTAACACCCAGACATATGTCACACTTCACATACTTTCGGGGACAAAGACGTGCAGGCAAACACACATATATATATACATACACTGAAGTACGACTAACAACTACAAGCATCTTCAAGACATATATGCATCGGAATAAGCCAAATAAGATCACACGTGTTCAGTACATATACAACATCAGAAACATATCAATAACCTTTGTTCTGACACAAAGACAAACCATAATGTACAAAAACTATAAAGTATTAAACCTACTTTATAAGCACATTTGGTAAAATCACTTTAGCAGTCAGGTGGTTTTTGTAAACCTCCCACAATTATTAAAATGAATCCCTTTTTTCAACAATGTTAAAAAAAAAACAGTTCTGCAGAATGACCTAGTAAAACTCAAGCTTAATTCAGGAAATTAAAAAAAAAATTCAATTTAAAAAAAAAAAGTTTAACATTTTTTTTTTAAGTTGAAAAATAAAACTAATCAGAATCTCCCCAATCATCATCTTCGCTCTCCTCGCCATCACTATCACTATTCTCTATCACTTTACGTCTGCTCTCAATAGCTTTGTCCATAATGGCCTGGACGTCCAGGATGCCGGGAGCTGATGGCAGCTGTTTCTTGTGCTCTCTGGCTTCGACCTTTCTTAGTCGTTTGTTGACTGCAAGAGGTAAACACAACATTAGAGGTAATATCTACTTTTATATTGAATGTATTAAAATACGGAGCCGCCTTAGTGAAGCCGCTAGACACCTTAGTGCAGCGGCTAGTCGCCTTAGTGCAGCGGCTAGTCGCCTTAGTGCAGCGGCTATTCGCCTGCCTGCAGATCAGAGACTCGTGGATTCAGGTCCTGACAGAGCTTGACTATATTCAAAAATGACCTTGGCTCCCTGGTCGACAAAGCTTTAAATGGGCACCAGGTACAGTCCTGGGAAGTAAAGGTAGCTGGCGTGATACTGACCCCATCACCCACCAAGAGCCGCCTGCTCTATAAAACACAGGTTCAGCCCTAAACATCCAATACGCCAGATGGCATAGAAAAAGGTCATATCATTTATTTAATAAAATATGTAGAGGTATATTTAATAAAGAATTTTCTTTTTCTTATTCTACCTTTTCTAAGTTCACCCTCAAAAGGGTTGATTGGCACATCTTGTATGGTTTACAGTAAGGCCTCTTCTGTCCCAAACTGCCCAATACTGCCTTTATCTGACCACGTTTGTAGTATAGGCAGGGGGGTCTTTTGAGCCTGAGGACTCACGGCAGGATGGCTAGTGCTGTCGCCACGACTGTGCAAGTCAGGATTTCATTTTGACCCTGACATAAAAAATCCCTAGCCTTACCAAGGATTCGAACCTGGAGAGTCAGCGTTTTTACCATCTAGCAAGCCGCTCCTCTCCTTCCTTGCTTTAATTATTCCGTGAAATGACAAAAGGAAGTCAATAATCTTCTCTTAGTGTTCCGTTATATCTCTCTTTTTCTCTTACCATAAACCTTTCTCGCTGTCACATGTTCGAGTTTTTCTTCTTCTCACACGGTGCCTCCAGCCCTCCCCACCCCCCTCCCCTTTTTTTTCTCAAAAGATGACTGTCTCTTTCTGATGTTCACCATTCTTCTTCAGCATTCCAGGCCCTTGAGGTTCATTGCTGCAGATATCACCGACCTCCATTCATCTCTCTGGTTGGCCTTCTCTTTCCAGTTGGTGACACCTAATGTTCGCAGGTCTGTCTGGACATTATCTCTCCATGGTCTTCTTGGTCTGCCTCATGGTCTATGGCCATTCATCTAACTTGTGTATACAGTTTTTAACCACTCTGTCATCTGGCATTCTCTCAATACGCCCCAACCATTTCATTCTATTAGCTCTCATGATGCCAGTGATCAATGGTGATTTAAACAAGAGATTATGAATTTAATTGTTGCTTCACACTATCCATTCCCCGCTGTTTGCATCTTTGATGGCCAAAGATTCGTTGTAAGAGTCTGTTTTCGAAAACCTGTAATAAGGCTTCGTCTCTTTTAGTTTCCAAGTTTCAGAGCCATATAAAACGACTGGTCTTATCAAGGTTTTATATATTGTGATCTTGGTGTTGCGAGACAGACACTTTGACTTCAGCAGATGTTGAAGGGCATAGTATAATTTATTTTCAGATTGTATTCTAGACCATATTTCTTCTCTTAGCATGTTGGAGCAGTTGAAGTCTCAGCACGAAACAGATGTTCACCATTTCATCATAAAGAATAATAATTATGTAAAGAACAAAGACGTCATGGCAAATATGGTAAGAATATGGCAGTGGATCTGATAAGACATTCCACAGGAATATGTACCTGAATTTGAAAAGATTACCACAACAACATATAACAATCATAACTGTGATAATCTACTGCCCTGAAAAATTAATTTTCGTTTTTGATCACATGGAAGTTATTGGGCAGCAGCCACTACACCTATATAATGGCTTTGGTAGTGTATGCAACTGCATAATGTGTAAACATAGTTGTATGTTTATTAAAAAAAAAAGAATTCAAGATATTATCTAGAGCAACAAATTAACATTTTTTTTCCCTTCAAATTGTGAAGTCACTGTGAGGTCATAAAAACCCCCATAGTGGGTCACTTTGCACAATGTGACTAAATCCACAAAACCACGTGTTTCAGGCTCAAAGGGAAGTTAAAAAAGTTAATTCTTTGCTCTTTTTGTTTTTAGGAATTAGTTCGCTTACTTTTAAAAAAAATGCCGCTCATAAAAGTGGAAAAAAATAATAATATGAATTAATTTAGGGATATGACGACCGAAGTGCCGCAGTGGTCATCATGATTGCTCATCTGCTTGTTGGTCACAGGTTTCAACCCTCTGAATTTTTATAAAAAGTGAAGAAGACTACACTTCTTCTGCTTCTTCTTCTCTTTCTCTAGTTTCTTAGGGTAGAGTTTCTGAGAATTATGAAGATGCGTTTCTTTCAAATGAAATTTTAAATGGGAAAACAGCACTTTTTTTTTCCCAAGACGGGACGAAAATATCATGTAGAAGAAATTATGTCAAAATTTCAGATAAAATGAGCTGATAAATTTTTTATGTAATAATTCTACGTGTGTATAGTAGCCAACTTATCGTGCCTGTCTACTTCCATCAATGACAAACTGCGTTTCTGGTGGCGGCTGTTGGCTTTGGCACCTCTGGTACCTGAAATTTGCATTTACTGCAGGCATATATTTCTGGACTATTCTGGGACTAACTGTCCGTTCACCAGCTTTTCAAATGCAAGAGTGAACGACATTTCATTAGATTTACACTGGCACAGGAACGGAGCAAGTATGGGAAAACCCTATTGCAGTGAAGGTGAAACCTCAGCTAAGATTAAGATCATTATGTCAAGAATATGGCAGAATTTGGGGGAAAATAAATTCTTGGTGTTATCGATCCAGTGGCGCATGAGCTTTCGACCTCTGGCCCCATGCCATGTAATTGAATTTGCATGTTTTCACAAGCTGTTCTTTTCCTCTGTACAAGGTGTTCCGCTTGTCTGGTCTTGGAAGGAATAGCATTCTTTTAGTCTCGCTGAGTTTTAGACACTCAAAGAGATGGTGTTCAACAGTTTCGTAGGGGTAGTTACATAGCTGGCACTCTGGGGAGTGTTTTGGTTGTATTCTGTTTAGATGTCCACTGAGTGGAGTATGTTTTGTTCTGATTCTGAGGGGAAAATAGATAAAAATTAAAATCAACGTACTGTCTACTTGGATAATCTCCTTCATCAGTGCGCTTCTGTCTGCTCCAACAGCGGGTCTGGCCGGCTCCAGAGCTCCAGTAGAACTAGAGGACAGGGAAACGCTATCCCCATTCACATCCAATGCAAACTGCATGGGTGGAGGTGGAGGGGGTGGTGGAGGTGGAGGCGGCGGCGGTGGTGGGGGGTGATGCATGCCATCCACTGGAGGGGGTGAGGGAGGGGGTGGAAGAGATCCTGCATGGGCTATTCCCCCTGAGGAGATTATAACTCCTTGATGGCCGTCAAAGGGCGGAGATGGTGGGGGTGGCGGAAGATCTGCTTCTGGTCTGCAGAAATACAATGTGAATAATGTTAAGTGTTATGCTCACATGTTTAGTACACACATATTTATAAACAAGCGAAACATCCCAACACACACACAGACAGTGACATGTACATGCATCTCTCCCCTCCTCCTCCCCACCCCAAATGTAAATAAATGTGCTTTCATGCACATGTTTGACTGTCATTATTAGTGTCTGTGATGAAAGAGAACTTTTTTTAAAACTATTTTTGACATCTTCTGAATGAAGAGACAGTTATTCAAACAACTTTGCTCCACGATGAAAAGACAGTCATTTAAACAACTCTGCATTCTACAAGATAAAGAGGCCGTGATTCAAACTACTATGCTGTCTGAAGTTCAAACAACTAAACAACTACGCGATGTGAAGTTCAAACAACTATAATATTTGCAGTTCAAACAACTATGCTATCTGTAGTTCACACAACTATGCTATCTGCAATTCAAACAACTATACCGCTTGCAATTCAAATGATTATGCTATCATAAATTCAAACAACTATGCTATCTGTAGTTCACACAACTATGCTATCTGCAATTCAAACAACTATACCGCTTGCAATTCAAACGATTATGCTATCATAAATTCAAACAACTATGCTATCTGTAGTTCAAACAACTATGCTATCTGTAGTTCAAACAACTATACCGCTTGCAATTCAAACGATTATGCTATCATAAATTCAAACAACTATGCTATCTGTAGTTCAAACAACTATGCTATCTGTAGCTCAAACAACTATGCCACTTGCAATTTAAACAATTATGCTATCATAAATTCAAACAACTATGGTATCTGTAGTTCAAATAACTATGCTATCTGCAATTCAAACAAATATGCTACTTGCAATTCAAAAAATTATGCTATCATAAATTCAAACAACTATGCTATCTGTAGTTCAAACAACTATGCTTTCTGTAGTTTAAACAACTATGCTATCCGCAATTCAAACAACTATATGCTTTGTGTAGTTCAAATTATGCTATCTGTAGTTCAAACAACTATACTATTTGCAGTTCAAACAACTATGCTATCTGTAGTTCAAACAACTATGCTATCTGCAATTCAAACAACTATGCTATCTGCAATTCAAACAACTAAATGCTATGTGCAGTTCAAATTATGCTATCTGTAGTTCAAACAACTATACTATTTGCAGTTCAAACAACTATGCTATCTGCAATTCAAACAACTATGCTGCTTGCAATTCAAACAATTATGCTAGCATAAATTCAAACAACTATGCTATCTGTAGTTCAAACAACTATGCTATCTGCAATTCAAACAACTATGCTGCTTGCAATTCAAACAATTATGCTAGCATAAATTCAAACAACTATGCTATCTGTATAGTTCAAACAACTATGCTGCTTGCAATTCAAACAATTATGCTAGCATAAATTCAAACAACTATGCTATCTGTATAGTTCAAACAACTATGCTATCTGCAATTCAAACAACTATGCCACTTGCAATTCAAAAAAGTATGCTATCATAAATTCAAACAACTATGCTATCTGTAGTTCAAACAACTATGCTATCTGCAGCTCAAACAACTATGCTATCTGTAGTTCAAACAACTATGCCCCTTGCAATTCAAACAATTATGCTATCATAAATTCAAACAACTATGCTATCTGTAGGTCAAACAACTATGCTATCTGCAGCTCAAACAACTATGGTATCTGCAATTCAAACATCTATGTCGCTTGCAATTCAAACAATTATGCTATCTGCAATTGAAACAACTATGTTATGTGCAATTCAAACAACTACGCTATCTGTGGTTCAAACAACTACGCTATCTGTGGTTCAAACAACTACGCTATCTGTGGTTCAAACAACTACGCTATCTGTGGTTCAAACAACTACGCTATCTGTGGTTCAAACAACTACGCTATCTGTGGTTCAAACAACCATGCTATCTGCAATTCAAACAACTACGCTATTTGTGGTTCAAACAACTACGCTATCTGTGGTTCAAACAACTATGCCGCTTGCAATTCAAACAATTATGCTATCATAAATTCAAACAACTTTGCTTTCCACAGTTACCAGTAACAATAATAAACAATAGATCAGCCTGGTTACCTTGAACCTTGTCTAACGGGCGAGTCTCTTTGTGAACCACCTCGTCCCACTCGTATCGTCTGTGGCGACATACCAGCCGGCACACCTTCCACATGATAATCCACTGGAGGAGGTGACGGAGGTGGTGGCAAACTGTCTCTGGATCCGATGCCAGGTGGTGGAGCTGGAGGTGGTGCCATTGGCCGGTTAGGACTTACAATTGTTCTTCTGTTACCGATTATTCCATTGACTAATTTGTCTGGAGAAATTATCTGTTGGAATACAAAAATTATACCTTAGAAAAGATTTAACTTTCTTTTCAAAGTGATAAATGGAGATTTGGAAATATGGCTACATGCACAACTGTATGTTTAGTTCCATAACATTAATAGGGCTGTGAAATATGAGACTTCTGGAAAGGCAATTCTTTAATTCATTGGTTTTTAATTAGCTAAGACCTGCAGACACAGGACTGGATTTAGACTCGACAGGACCTTCAGCTGTACAGACCTGAGGTCCCTACCTTTTTAAATCACATCAACTGATCTCCGAAAACTGTAAGCTATATTCGTCTTTTAACTAAACAGATCATGGAAATATGTTGTTATTTAATTTTTTACTAAAAGAAATAATAAAGAATTTGTTTGCAAAATCACAGAAATTTGATTTCTTAACAAGCTAAAGAACTATCATATCAGTGAGGAGTTTTCTGAATATGATGAATAAAAGTGAGCTCAATATAATCACATCACTTTTGTTTCCAAATTTCCGGTCTTAGACATCAAGGTGTGTCTTATACATAGGATCATCTTAAACTTAGGGAAATACAGTAAGTCCTGGAACAAAGCCAAAGTCTAGATATGGACGACCAAACAGGTCTTTCCGCCACAGTTTAAACCACTGAATGCGACCAAACAATAGACCTTCAAATGTAATCCTTTCATCCTGCCTTTCTGGTCATCACAATGTTCTTCAGTGTCTTATATCTCCTCTCCACAGGACCAAAGATCACAGTTTTATCTCTTTCTTATAGCTGCCCTTACTTCACTGTAATTAGCTTCTTTTATCATATTTATTTATTTATATATATGGTGCTATGATTTTCTTTTGGGTTCAACTACAATGTAATGAGCTTCAAATGGAAACCTTAAAAATGTGACAGAAATTACAGTAACCATGCCACTGTCTTGTAACCTGTCAATATTTTTGTTAAGGATGTCAAGAGTGTTAAGCATGTGATACCACTGTGCAGACAGACATGGTGGTGTCATACTGACAGTTCAAAAAAAAATGTTTATGGACAACAGAATGCTGCTTCTTTTTGTTGCATCTCAAAAGTGGGGTGAGCTTCTTTAAGCTGTCACTGACTTAATAGTAAGTACTGACAGGTTACAATGGAATGGTTATTATGATTTTAAGGTTTACATTTGAAGCCCCTTTGTATATTTTTTTTTTTTTACATTTAATAACATGTTTTTGTTTTTTGCACTCATTATTACTACAGTTACTTTATTACTACACTTATACGATATAAACTGTTTTTAAAAAAATGCTTAGTTGCTGAAAGGAACAAAATTGTGGCATAGTTTTTAGATTCAAACTCTTTGAAATTTAATTAATGAACACAATAATACCTTAGAGTTCAACCAATCAGTTGACAGTTCTTCTGCATCTAGGATTTTAAAAGTTTCTAGATGTATGGGCTTCCTCATCAACTAATAAATATGTGCCATCAGATAGCTATGCACTTTTTTTGTGTGTTAACAGGAAAGAACCATTGGAAATCTATGTGTTTCTTTTTTTAAATTTTTTTTTACTGTATAATTTGACAATCTTGGAATGTCAGTGAACAAATTAAGAAGAATCTGGAAGCAATAGAGATGTGGTTTCTGAGACGAATGTTATGAATAACTTAGACGGCCAGAGTAACTAATAACGATTGTTTGAAAAAAGCTAATGAAAGTAGATCTCTTTATACAACAATAAGAAAGAGACAAACACTATTCTTTGGCCACATAATGAGAAGAGAGGCATTGGAAAACATCGTGACAACTGGAAAGGTCAGTGGAAAGAGGGGTAGAGGCAGACCAAGAGAGATGATGCTGGATGGGCTGAAATGATGGCATGGAGGAATATCATCAAGAGAGCTGTTCTAGGCAACCAGGGATCGTGATCTGTGGAGATGCATGAGTGCTTACGCCAACTTGCAGAGCACATGATGATGATGATAATTTGAGAACAACTGAAAATTAATTAATTTTTTTTACCTGTTCTGAAAACTGAGAAGGAGGAGGTGGTGGTGCAGGGTGACCACTGTAAGCAACGCCTGTATCCCCCGAGTAGCCATCTGGTATGTGTGTCTGGTTGTGTTCATAGGGAATCTGCTGGTCTGGGTACTGATGCTGTGTGTAGTTGTTTCGCTGCTGCTGCTGCTGTTGCTGATGATGCTGAAACTGCTGTTGTTGCCGCTGTGACTGCCTTCGAGCCTCCTGTAATTGTTGCTGCTGTTGTTGTTGTTGGTACTGGAGTTGCTGCTGAGCTAGCAGTTCATACTCTTGCTGCTCCCGCAAGCGGTTGGCCTCTGCCTGACTCTGTTCTATCTTCTGTCTGATTGCAGAGGTATCCTACGAGTGCAAAAAAAATTATTATCGGGAAATGGACGTTGAAAAAAAACAAAAAAAGATTTCAAGGCAAGAGGATCAACTTGACTGACTGACCAGTTTGTCCCCTCCAAGCTGTTACCTAAAGGTTTACCATACCATCCTGAGATATAAATCAACTCAATCTGGACGGCAGCCAGTATCACCCCTTCTGGCTGTATGTATACTGGTCTAACATGTATCACCCCTTCTGGTTGTATGTATACTGGTCTAGCATGTATCACCCCTTCTGGCTGTATGTATACTGGTCTAACATGTATCACCCCTTCTGGTTGTATGTAGACTGGTCTAACATGTATCACCCCTTCTGGTTGTATGTAGACTGGTCTAACATGTATCACCCCTTCTGGCTGTATGTATACTGGTGTAACATGTATCACCCCTTCTGGCTGTATGTATACTGGTCTAACATGTATCACCCCTTCTGGCTGTATGTATACTGGTCTAACATGTATCGTTCCTTCTGGCTGTATGTACACTGGTGTAACATGTATCACCCCTTCTGGCTGTATGTATACTGGTCTAACATGTATCGTTCCTTCTGGCTGTATGTACACTGGTGTAACATGTATCACCCCTTCTGGCTGTATGTATACTGGTCTAACATGTATCGTTCCTTCTGGCTGTATGTATACTGGTCTAACATGTATCACCCCTTCTGGCTGTATGTATACTGGTCTAACATGTATCGTTCCTTCTGGCTGTATGTATACTGGTCTAACATGTATCACCCCTTCTGGCTGTATGTATACTGGTCTAACATGTATCGTTCCTTCTGGCTGTATGTATACTGGTCTAACATGTATCACCCCTTCTGGCTGTATGTATACTGGTCTAACATGTATCGTTCCTTCTGGCTGTATGTATACTGGTCTAACATGTATCGTTCCTTCTGGCTGTATGTATACTGGTGTAACATGTATCACCCCTTCTGGCTGTATGTATACTGGTGTAACATGTATCACCCCTTCTGGCTGTATGTATACTGGTCTAACATGTATCACCCCTTCTGGCTGTATGTATACTGGTCTAACATGTATTGTTCCTTCTGGCTGTATGTATACTGGTCTAACATGTATCACCCCTTCTGGCTGTATGTATACTGGTCTAACATGTATCACCCCTTCTGGCTGTATGTATACTGGTCTAACATGTATCGTTCCTTCTGGCTGTATGTATACTGGTCTAACATGTATCGTTCCTTCTGGATGTATGTATACTGGTCTAACATGTATCACCCCTTCTGGCTGTATGTATACTGGTCTAACATGTATCACCCCTTCTGGCTGTATGTATACTGGTCTAACATGTATTGTTCCTTCTGGCTGTATGTATACTGGTCTAACATGTATCGTTCCTTCTGGCTGTATGTATACTGGTGTAACATGTATCACCCCTTCTGGCTGTATGTATACTGGTCTAACATGTATCACCCCTTCTGGCTGTATGTATACTGGTCTAACATGTGTCACCCCTTCTGGCTGTATGTATACTGGTCTAACACGTATCAACTCTTCTGGCTGTATGTATACTGGTCTAACATGTATCGTTCCTTCTGGCTGTATGTATACTGGTCTAACATGTATCACCCCTTCGAACTGTATGTGCCATGAAATCATCATTTATTTCAGACAGTTCACAAAATAGAAGGAAAAGCAGGGGGAGGATGAGAAGAGATATGGGGGAGAATAAGAAAATGAAGAAAAAGAAAGCAGGAATAGATGGGAGAGGAGAAGCAGCAGCAGGAGGAGGAGAAGAAGGAGAATAAGAAGAAGAAGCAAGTAGCTCTGTGTAATGAGTTCCATTCTGAATGGGGGGAAATGATGAACAATCATCACTGACCTAATCTAATCTACACATCTGAATACAGGAGACATCACTATCATTCACCTACCTGGTAATCTGATACAAACTCAGCTCCATGCTGCAACCGCTGATGTTTCTCTCTGGTAGCTGCTTTAGCTTCTTTAACATGATGAGGTTTTCTCGTCTGTCTGGTCTGTGAGCACATGACCACAACACGTTACTATACAAGCACAGCCTAGCAAACCACATTTGATACACAAGACATGCAAGTCACTTTCCTCTCGACTTTTTAAAACTGTTCTTCTTCTTCTTCCCTTTAACCACCAATGGAGCATATACCGTCAACCAACTCACCCCCACCGCACTGTCACCTTAACTCTTTCAGTACCAAACAATGAACCGTAAATTTCTTGGTCAATCCAAGAATGTCAATGTACTGGTTCAGCTATCTTCTATCACAGACAATTATAATTTATCTAACATAACTGCGTGACTGAGGTGCTTAAGCTTGGTGAAGCACATCTATGCCATCTTTGAGATTAAGACAGTGGCCTGAAGAGAATGGTTATGGATGGTGCAGTTTCTGAAAAACAAGCCGGAGGCTGACCTCTGCACTGTGAAAGAAGATTCAGGACACTGAAGATGAATTGGATATGTAAGGCATAAGGCTAGAGATTTGGCTAGAGAAAGAGAGACTTTCAGGTGTGCCTTTACAAGAGAGACATTCTGTAAAGACGTGCTGATTGACGATGCAGTTTGTCTCTTGTCTTCTTAATAAGCTCTTATACTCGTAACTGAAAAGTCTAAAAGAAAACTGTTTATATTCAATTCTGTATCCAGTCGCAGAAAAAAATCACCTCGGATGCAGAAGAGGCTAGTTAATGAACTCTAATATTTTTATCTGGGGTCAGGGTTCTATTTTTTTTTTGGGGGGGGGGGGGGGGGGATTAGCACCCTCATCCCCTTTCCCACACATTCACAAGCAAGTCCTAAAAGGTGAATAATTAAGAATTTACTGAAATCAGAGCCTGGCAGTAAATCACAACACAACATGCCATCCACCCTTTTAAGGGTTCACACGGTATAAGAAGAAGCTCTCAATCCAAGTTTCTACTTGCGAACACAACATACCTCTCCTCTGCCTTTCCTCTTCTGCTCATGCAACTTCCTGTTCTCCTGAATCTGTTTGCTCATCTCAATAGCCCACAGCTCAGCAAAGTAGCTGGGATCTGTATAGAACTTCAAGCTGCTCTTTCCGTCCTCCCTGAAACAAACCATTGCAAATTGCAAATCTGATATCAGAAATATGATGTATTTTCTCAACAAAGTTACAGAGGTAGTCTAGCAGGATACAACAAAAAAGTAATCAGTGTGCCATGATAACATTTAACATACCAACTGCATCTATGCTGAAGAGACTGAGAACTTATGAGTTTACAAAGACATCAGCTCTGCTGAACATACAAGGGAGCATCAAATTAAAATTTTAAAAGTGTGACAGAAAATGCACTTTGGTGCACGTGAAAAAGGTAAGCCGCCATCTTTAAACTGTCACTATTATGTCACCATGTCCATATGTACCATGATTCCATGTGCTTAACACTCCTGACATCCTTAACAACAATACTGACAGGTTAAAAAACAATAGCATTATTTCTGCAATTGTTTTCACTTTAAGGTTTTAATCTGAAGCCTTTTCTTACAACTAATACACAACAGTAGCTCATGAGTTATCAGAGCTCAAAAGGAAAAGAAATAACAGTAACATCGTAACTTACTATAGTGCAGCTCTGTGGTTTAGACCAGTGTTTCCCAAACTTTTTTTTTTCTAATTAAAGTGTTTCCACAGTGCCCTAACCTAAGTAAAAGTATGACTAATCATATGTAAGAGATTGAAGAAAAAAAAACTTGTGTATCTTTGAATATTTCGTGGCGCCCCTGTGAATAGGTTGTAGCTCCCTGGGGCACCACAGCGCACAGTTTTGAAATCACTGGCTTAGACGTTAGTGAATGCATCTGTCAATTTCATGATTCTTGAGCAATAAGGTTTCTAGCAGTGGACAATAAAAATGTGTTTAAAAAAATAGCATTCTCATGGTTTTCTGACAGCATCACAAGAGCTACAGAGTTAAATGGATAATCTCAACAGAGCAGTAAAAGCAGAAAATTAAAACAAACAGAAGTTATGACAATCATACGAACACAGCAACCACTCAAGATAAGCAAAGAAAACCAACAACTCAAGCAAGTAAAAGACTTCAGGTACTTAGGGAGTACAATATCATTAAATGGGAAAACAGGAGCAGAAAAAGATTGCATATGTAATAAAGCAAATCAAATCACTGGACAGAACAAAGATGTAACAACTGACATAAAAGAACACTATTCAATAAAAAAAATTGTTACCAACCTTGTGTTACCAGTGCTAAAAGTAGACATAACAATAAAGAAAATAGAAAAATCTTAACAACAGAAATGAATGTCTACAAATCCTAAATGTAACTAGAACAGAGAGGACCAGAAGTGACGATATCAGGAAAGAAGTTGGGACAGAGCCAGGGCTGTGCTGCATCAAGAGATCAAGTGGTTTGGACATTATCAAAACTTCCACCAGACAGTGCACCACAGAGAGCCCTGTTAGTAAGACATAATGAAAGCAGAGCCAGAAGTCGACCACACGAGCAATGAATGGAATATCCGAAGCCGTAAGTGCCAGCATCTATGTAGCACACACCAAGGCTTGCACTCGATGCCTCTTCAAAGCCTGATGCTGAAAGGCAGAACAAAACTAAAGAAGACAAACTATGAGAGTCACACCCCAGAAGGGACTGAGGCTTCATCAGCTATATTTCCAAAGCCAGCAATGGGTGAACTGTAGCCTAGCTTCATTGTGGAAAAAAATAATTTCTTTAACTTACTGTGCCAGTCATAAAAGGTGACGTGAAGGGTTGAAAGGAAACCGATTATCTTATCCCAAAGACTTTTCTTCATGTTCACCGGCTGTGAACTCTTGATATAATGTCCTGTTTGTTCATCAACTTCTGGACCTGGGTCTTGTTCCAGATCTTGAGTTTTGCATGTACATCCATTTTACAGATCTGGCTTATTTGTATGCAGACTGATGGTTTTTCACCTCTCAGGCAAGTGCACTCCAATACTGAAAGAAACACTTTAAATTAGCCAACATTTACAAAATGCTTGTGGCGTTGAAAGGGGGGGGGGGGGGGTCTCTTTTTTTTTCCACCCCTAAAATGGGGCCTTGTAGCGGGAGGAGGGTGAGTAGAGACATGGAGAGAGAATAAGAAAATAAAGAAAAAGAAAGCAAGAATAGAGGAGAGAGGACATCCCACTTTAGCTGTAAAATTTAACTATTCATAAACAAATCAACTCTCTGAACATTAACTGAGACTAGGAGGTTCAACAAGGGGGAAAAAGGGAGGGCGACGTACAGGCAGGGACAATCAGATGTTTCGGCCAAGGCTTTCATTAAAAGTACAGCACAACAAAAAGATGAAAAATACTAGACACCAAACACAACAGGAGTCATACCAGCCCCTGTTTTCAATCATAAACAATCTACAAGAGGCAATACATATTATTGGAGGGCCTAAGGCACACTGGAAGTTGAACACCAGAAGAAATTGTCAAGTACAAACACTGAGGACACAATCTTACCTGAACTGATCAAGTTTCTCCAGTGCTGGTGGAGCATCACATTTATCATAAAGTTCCAAGATGGCCCTGGGGACAGTGCTTCTAGACAACACTTGTTGCTCTTTGTGCACAGAACTTTTAAAAGGCTTCTGCAAGTGTATATCCTGGAGGTTCACTGAAAATAGTAGAAAACTCTTGTTAGTGAGGATATCACCACAGCCCTCCTGACAGGTCCACAGGTCTGATCTCCTCATCAAAAGCTCCACAAGCGTAAAACGACTGAACACGCATGTTCTGTGTTGATTCATTAAACTTCTGTCACCCTGGTGCAATGTTCCTTTCTTGCAACTCCAGAGTGCTTACCCTATGCCCATCAGTCTAGACAGGGATACAGAGTCATGCCCTTTGCTGTATTTGTCATTGCAATATGTGCTGCGTATGGCATTGATAACGGCTCACAGAGCATGCTGAGACAGGCATGCTCCGTGCAGAGAAGCAAGCACTGCTTTAGAGGTCCCGGGTAGATAGCATCCTTTGAATAATTTTCTCCAGGTCATGATAGTGTGTTGGAAGGCGAGCCAGCAGACAAACTAGCCGGCTCTGTACCACTTGGTGTTGAACTGATGTATGAAAGGCTAGATGATGTGCGGAGGCACAGATAGATTATTCATTAAAGTCTGAGGAGAATGGCGCTGCAAGGAGTTACCAGGGAATCTGGCCGGCGCTCATTACTCAAAGGAAAGGGGAGACGGATGTACACTCAGACAGTTACTGGTGCCATCAAAACTGGAACTCTTTGCTTGCTGTTGAAGATGTAGACAGAGCACTTATGGAAGTGTCCTGAGTGCTTGCTATGAATGTGATTCTTAGTTCCAACATTCAACATTCTGGAAAATGGTGCCAGTACCACGTAACGTTGCGCACACAGCCAGAAAAAAGTTCTGAATAGATATAAATACAATACTCACAGACATCCACATTTGGATTCAGCTGCTTGACCTTCTCTCGTACATCCTCAATCTTTTTCTGAAGCTGGTTGCCTCTTCTAAAGACATTTGTGGCCTCCTGCGACAGCTCTCGGAACATATCCTCTGCATGCTGGCTGAGAGAGCTCAGCTCTCGTATCACATTGGCTAGGGTACTGTTGGTGACCCATTCAAACTCGTCACGCACAGAGGAGTCAATATGTCCCCTGCTCAGCAGTACCGGTTCAACAATACGTTTAATGTGCGGCATTGTACTGCATAGACAGGTGCTTGGTCTGAACCTTGTTCAACCTGAGGAGTAGAAAGATAACACCAGAATCAGTATTTCTGAAAACTACAATCAGAAGCTTAGCTACAATTTTAAAACTTCTTCTCCTAAGCATTCACTGGCTGTATACTCAAGATGAATAATTCTGGTTGTTTAGCCACTTCTGGGCTTTGATCTTGTTTCAGAACTTGTGCATGCACATCCATAAATAATACAAATTTGGCTTGTTAGTGTAGACTGTTGCTTCCTCGCCTTTTAGGAAGATGCACTCCAACTTTGAAACACCCTAATCAATCACCTACTACAACATGATTGTCAGAGGGCAGGGGTCAATTCTTTATTCCCCCAGAATGGTGCCCCGCAGCTCAATACAGTATGAGGTTCAATCCAGTGAGAGACTCACTATAGTAACAAACTCATGGTAAGAGACACTAAAGTGACAGACTTAATATAGTGAGAGTCTCAACACAGTGAGATACACAATCCAGTGTGACACACAATTTAGCCAGAGACTCAACTCAGAGTCAATACAGTGAGAGACTCAAACCTCTGAGAAATTAAATCCACTGAGGCTCAATCGACTGAGACTGAATCCAATGAGAAACTCAACCCAGTGACAGAATAAATCCAGTGAGAGTCAATCCAGTCAGAAACTCAACCCAGTGAGAGACTCAATCTAATGAGACTGAACCCAGTGACAGACTCGATCCAGTAATGTCCTCATCTACAAGCTGGGAAATTAAACATTTGGAAAGCACTAAGGCTCATGGACTAAATCAACTAAGCTGCTTAGGATCGTGTGTCCTGGCCAATCACCGCCAACACCCATTTCCCGCCTAGTAGAAATATGTTCTCTCTGGAGGGATATGAAGCAAACAACTGGCTACAGAAAACGCAAAAAAAAAGCATCTTATGCTGTGGAAAAAAATATCAGCCTGCAGCATTCTGTATATCTTGTTCATCTTCTTTCATCGGAGGATGTAAATGTCTGGTGTCAGTTAAACACGATATCTGCAATTTTCAGCGGAGAAATCCAACTTCTGCAGACATTTGTTGCCTGCGTTTGCCTCTCCGGGTATTCGGCATATTATCATTAAGGGGTGTGAAGGAGACGGGTGTAACAGGGGATGTATAAAAAGTAAAGTAAGATTATAAGTGCAGATGCAGGAGGATGACAATGGAATGAGGGAAGTGGATGGGGAAGCGGAGTTTCTACTATAAGCACTTCCATTAGGTGAAATGTCATCGTCGCCAATATCCATTTCCCGTTACTCAAGGCGGAAAGAAGAATAAGAATTAAGCCAGTATATAGTACACATAATTTAATCTCAGATTGCATACCCATTGTATAAATATATACATTATGAATACAGTGTCGCGTATGTGTGAGTCTTATTGATCCAGGCGTGAACAACAGAACAATACTATTGTAGGTCAGCCAGTGTGACTCAGTGGCGTTTAGTGAATGCATTAACCAACGTATTTGTAGTATCGTTTAGTTTAGTTCAGTTTAGTCGACGATTAGACTCACAGCCTCATAAAGTCTAAATCCGGTCTTGCCTTATTTTATGCGGGAAGGGGGGGGTCGTCACGTTCAACCAGTATAACCAAAAGAGGAAGGGGGGGGGGGAACTTTTTGTTATAATTGGGTCGGAAGGTATCTGCGCTATAAAAAATGGTTTAACATTGCTCGCCGCGAGAACTAGAAGGACTAATCCGGATGATGTGATTCCCAATAACGCCGTGAAAAAAGGCCAGGAAAGCACATTTGCTAAGCAGAATATAACTGCCATTAAATCTCTGTTACAATAACCTATCAGCCTGAAATCAATCTATTATTAAACTCACTGTTCCCCACCCCCCTTATTTTTTTTATAGTCGGCTCTGTGGCTAAGCCGATGCGAACGCTTCGTAATGCCGGGTTCAATCCCAACTGCGGGCCATGCGCCTTGCGTTGGTTTCGACAGTGGTATCAAAGAAGCCGACCGTCCAGAAAGTAATAGCAAACTACTGGACGTAAATTTGCCTAGAAAAACCCACACAACAGCCAGGGGCTGTTGAGGTTGGTTCTGCAACGTCCTGTAAAGGATACGCAACTAACCTATCGTTTTTATACTGATGTGTATTATTAATGTTATTGTCTTTCACAAAAGTAAGTGTCTTCTTTTTAATGTATTAGCAAGAATGTTTGAGCGTAATTAATAAATGTACAATTATGACATCATTGATTTGTGTGTCCACGTGTATGTGAGGAGGGGGAAAAAAGGGGGAAGGGGGAAGCAGAAGGTCTTGTTCCACGGCCTAACTATCTTCTGGGAGGCTCTGCCAGTAGCAGCCTGGCTGAATGTACGTCTTGCCTTTCCTCTTAGTGTTGAGTATCCGTATAGATTTCCTGTTCACTCCTCGCTGGGCCGGTACTCAACCCTTTAGACGTGTTCATGTCGATCGTATCCTAAACTCAAGCAAGAGGGGACAGAATCATCCTACACAGGAAGAGAATCAGCGCCCCTAAAACCGGAAATAACGACAAATTACATACGTAAATTATACAGAAGTAATGGGAGGGCAAAAGCTCCATATCTCCTCCCACCAACATAGCAATTTGTATTCAAGAGTTTGCACGCAACACACACGAGAGAGGAGTGAGTTTGTCCAACACTTGGCCGTGCTGACAGACGACAGCCTGTGGTCGCAGACATTATGAACAGTACTTGAATCTCTCGTTCTCTATTCCCCCACATTCCCCCATATCCGCAGGTCGTTAAAGCACGTAACGGCAACCCCGAGGATACGAGGAATCGTTTAAACTGCAGGCCATGGCGCGAGGTTTGCCCGGCCCGTTCTTCTGAGAGTCTAGCTGTACGCTTAGGCCGCGGTTAATGACTCTAGTAGAGCGAGCACTAAAACTCCCAGATACTTGACAGTGCTCAAGCTGAACATGACAGGAGAAGGGGGAAGGGAAAAAAAGAGGGGGCGGGAGGAAGGGGTCGGAGGTTCTAAATGTGTCGTTTATAATTTGTCTCCGGGTTGTGTACTGATTATGCTGACTTGGCTCAATCCGAAATTCGGTTCCTTGTTGAGTATCCTATTTATGGATATTTGGAGGGTGTAGGCCTATTGCTCCTTCCCACTAATATGGGAATATGGGAGCTCCGTGTCTCCCCCTTCTTCCTTCCCCCCCCCCCACCACTCCACCTTAGTCATGTGTGTGTTTTACACGTTACCTTTCAAGTATAGTGGTGCATCGAGTCACGAACTAATTCGCTGGTTGACTGTTCGTGAGCCGAAACGTTCGCAGCCCGAAAAAAATGGTTCCCATTGAAATTAATGCAAGTAAAATTAATTATTTCACAATGCCGGGTTCGATCCCAGCTGCGGGCCTTGCGCCTTGCGTTGGTTTCGACAGTGCTATCGAAAAGTCGACCGTCTAGAAGCAATGACAAACTACTGGACGTAAATTTGCCCATAAAGACCACAACAGTCAACAAAATGCTGGGGTTGGTTCTGTAACGTCCTGTAAAGCAGGAACGCTCAAACTTTTTTCGCCGCGGCACCCTTGTGGGGCTTTAAAAAATCGCGGCATACCTACACTTAAAGCGATTGAAAGACTAGGGAAAGAAAGGGAAAACGAAGATTTAATGTTAAGTTATCTTTAATGCGACTGATGAAACTGTTTCGATGAATTTGTCCTTTCATCCTTTTCATTTTTATTTTTAGAAATTCTCTTTATCATGGATGACCCTCCCTGAAAAGATATAGCGCAGCGTTTAAACATTTCTTAACATTTATGTACTAAAAAAGAATAACTGCATTCCAGATGACTCTTTAATTTGGACGGAACAAAGCAGCCGTTAGAAACACTTCAATGTCAGTTTACGTACTGCCCTTCCGGTGCCTGTTCGTTCCCCACAGAAACAAAGCCAAACAAGAACGAATACAACCGAATTCGCATTTCAATCATTGTTAACTCAGCCGTTCGTTCGATGTAATTTAAACGTACTTTTATATTCTCGTTAGCAATATCTTTAAAATTTGATCTCTCTCTCTCTCTCTCTCTCTCTCTCTCTCTCTCTCTCTCTCTCTCTCTCTCTCTCTCTCTCTCTCTCTCTCTCTCTCTCTCTCTCTCACACACACACACACACACCCACCCTGCCTTGCCTGTAAATATAAGTACTTGACCAGGCTAAACGCTACTACTGTACAGACCACATTTTCCACCTTGAAATTTCAGCCAAAATGTAAAAATGAAATCTCGTCGAGAGGGGGAGAGGGGCGATTTTTTAAAAATAAATTTCCAGCTAGCCTAAAATGAATATCAGGTAAAGCCTAGGGAAGTAAAGGCGGTCGACACGATATTGACCATACCTTCCATTTAGTGCCGATTAGTCCATCTAAATATTTGTCTAGCATCATATGTCCACTGTGGTACTGGCGTGGGAGGGGCCCTTAAGCCTCCTGAGCTTCACCCACCAGAAAATGTGTTCGCTCTCCCAAGAAGAGAGGCGAGGGGAGGGGGGAGCAATCATATTTTTTAAGTGTCGGCGCCCTAGATTGACACCCGCTCTAAAACACACACGCATACAACCCAGGCACATACAGACCCACACAGCTATACACACACACACACGTAGCCGCACAAAAAGACCCAAACAAACACACACACTGGCGCACACAGACATAAACCCACACAGACACACACATGCAGTCACAGGTACACACACACACACACACACACACACACACACACGAAGAAGAAGAAGAAGAAGAAGAAGAAGAAGAAGAAGAAGAAGAAGAAGAAGAAGAAGAAGAAGAAGAAGAAGAAGAAGAAGAAGAAGAAGAAGAAGAAGAAAAAAAAAAGAAAATTCCCTAAGCATCGAAAGATCTTTAAAATGTGTAGCTAGCACCATAATCGTATAAACAATATGACTACACAGAAAATGCCTTATTTTTATATTCTTTAATTACTGCTAACAAATTACAAC